TGTCTTTTTTTTTTTTTTTTTTTTAATTATTGTTATTTTTATTTCTTTAGCTCATGTGTACATACACTTCTCCCCCCTTTCCTTTACACTGTAAAGACACAATCACTGTTTCGGTGAAACACTACTCAGAATAACACTACAAGTTTTCATCGAAAGAATACAACACGTCRTACAGGTTTGCTAAAGTTAGAGCTGTTAATTCATTTGCTAAAGAAGCACAGCCCCCAGACTAATTTTAAATTATTCGGAAAGTCCCGCTGTGCTTAACAAGTAGAAATATAGCCGTCATTTTCAAATTTAGTCGTTAGCATGAGATATAGAGCAAGGCAGTGAAAACAGAGCTAAGAATCGCTAGTCACCTCATAAATACTTTTTAAAAAGCATACATATTTTTTTAAAAAAATTATATACCAGTTCAGGATAGTGAATGTCTATTATCTTTCAGAATTAATACATTCAACAAATTCCCTTGGTTCACTTACATCTGTGTCACAGTCAGAAAAAAATCGATCTCCACCCACCCCCSCTAAAAAAGGAAACATTAAATCGAAGATTAAATGTCACAATTAGCGTTTTCAGTTCTAGTTTTTCAATGAATTTCCTTCATAGGAACTTTTTTTTTAAGTATCAAAATGAATTTCGATTTCTTTTTATCACGAACATATCTTATTTACCGTCGTATTTATACAGCTCACCAGACGCCTTCGAAAGAAAAATACATTATATAGAAAACTTTGACCTTACCTGCTACCTAATGTACTCGCAGCCAGGAAAAAAAAAAAAAAAAAAAAAAAAAGTCAATTCGTGTGTTATTCACTAGTTTGCCAGAGAAGATAATCTTTCAGTCTCTCTACCTCATAGGAATAGCCGCACTGGGCCAGATCTCTGTACACATTTGATACATATAAACAGTATTGCCATTTACTTTTTTTTTTCCTCCTTTCTCTGAAGGGGATCAGATCTGAAGAGGAAAGCGGCTAGATGGAAGAAGAAAAATATTTCTCCCGACATGGCCACAAAAGGACTGAAATTCCTCGGAAGTCCTTCGGTTTTTACCTCTGGGTCCCCTTTGTAACAGCAGCCGTCGCGACTAGCTGGGCCGGGGCTGCCTTCCCCGCGCGGCCCCTCTACCTGCCGTAAAACTCCTGAAAAAGTTTTTTTTTTTTTTTTCCCTGGCAACTTCTCTTGGTGCCATCTTAGAGCTGTCTCAGATTACACCGGGAGATGCACTTTGGGCACTGTTTTAGGGCACCCTGCTGCCTTTGGACCCGAGGTGCCAGCAAAGCGGTACTCTCAGCTCCGCTTCGCAGCGCTTTTCTCGGAGGGGATCGAGTCTTGGATCAATTCGGCGCTGCCTCGGGGTCCAGCGGGGGTGCAGGCCCCGCGCCGGCGAGTCTTCCTCGTGCTTCCAAGCCTGGGAAAAGGTGGTGCCGGGGGAAAAAAATAACGTTCTGATATGAAACAGCAAATATGAAGCAGCCTTTTGCTGGTGTTGCTGTTTTGGTGCTGATGGTGTGCTTTTAGGTGTGTGTGTGTCTTTTTTTTTTCTTTTTTTTTTTTTTTTCCTTCACACACCCTGTTGTGTAGTGACTGGAGCTCAGACGTGTGCTCTAGCGTGAGCTCCTATTTACAGCAGGAAAAAAAAAAAAAAAAAAAAAAGCCCTGCCCCTGGAATTGTGGCGCCTCGCAGGCAGTGCCAGGACGTGCGGGGTGCAGGGGACCCTGTTCTCCACACGCTCCCCTTCCTCTCCCCGAAATGCCCACAGCCTCGGTTATACTGGATGCTGTGCTTGTCTCCCTGCATTTCTGATTTAAACCATTCTCGGCCCTCCCCTCCTCCCACCCGCCATCCCATTATCCAAGTTTTGCATTGATTAACGGGCGGCTGAAAATCAGCGTATTGGAAGAAGGAAGCGTTTACCCGGAGGCCTGGGGGTTTAATGTAGCAAAGCTGTACAGTGACTAAGTTCTCTCAAGGTTCTCGAGAGAGATTGGAGATTTATATATACATATATATATATTTATATGTATATTTAATTAATCATGGAAGTATCTTTATCCAAATGAAGGCATAACTCACTTATATAAAGAAGTTTATAATAAAAGTCAATAAGATAATGTCATTTAAAAAATCTATAAAATTGTTAAAGAGCAGTTTGTTTGCATTTCTCCTGATTGATATGTAAATACAGTTTGAACTGTGTTTGCTCGGTCTCTAGTGCTTAATAAAGAGATGAATTCACCTTTCTGTGGAACAAGTAAACAGACTTTAAACTAAGCCGACATCAGACAAAGTGGAAACGAGTTTATTTAATCGAAACTAAATCTAGTTTAAGAAAGATAAGTCAGTGTACATAATAATCCATTACAGTAATTACACTCACCACCAAATATGTGTTTATGAGGTTGTCGAGACACAATAAAATTCATTTATTTCCCCCGAAGTCTACAATGAAARCTCCCTAGTTGATTCTCTGTTGATTTTTTTTCTTATTATTTCTTTTCCGAGCCAAAAAAATATTTGTAGAGTGCATGAATGTTTTTCAGTTCTCATCAATTTTAGCTTGACTCTGTTTGGAAGGATGCACACATTAATTACATTTCAACGGGAAATGTCGACTTAACCGCATCACTTTCCGCCTCTCTATCAGATATAAATTCCATAAGAAACTAATTAAAAATATAGGGAGCCTCAATCGTGCCCTGGCACCGCAGCGTCGGCGGGGCCCTACCAGGGCAGCGCCACGTCCAAACAACCGCAAATTCTTGATGCCCTTATCAGAAATATCAGCACTCAGCCCAGAACTCCTCCGTGCCAAGTCCGACACGACCATAAGTGTCGAGAAATTAGTATTCCCAGGAAAGAAAAAAAAAAATATTTATTGGTGAGTGTTAGTTGAGAATGTCCCAGTACAAAGCAAGACCTAAAATAAAGAATGAAAGGTCTCGAAATTCCTGTTGACACACGTGATGTTCTCTAGCTAGAAATAAAGGGAGGGGAGGCAGAAAGAATCCGATTTTTTTTTCCTATCAATTTCCCTTTTTCTTCTTCCAAACTAGCACTCGGTGTTCGAGTAACACCGACTATCTTGTATAAATAAAAGCCTGGAGCTTTCGAAAGCTGCTACTTAAGCTCGGACTCATTTTTTTTTCCCCCAATCCAGGCGGTCTTTATTTTATTTTTTCCCCTTCAAGAATATTAGTCGTTCTTAATAGTTCTATAGTTTCAGAGACGCTTGCATGACCGTCGTTTAACTGATAAAGGGAAATCCTGGAGAAGGTGCAAAGGAAAATACATGCTGAAGTCTTATAGCATGGGGATGTTCTGATTTTGAGTTGTACTCAAAGGAAAAAAAAAAAAGAAAAAATATAGTGTTGTTTTATTGTTTGTCCAATACAAGCTCCTTGGCTTGAGCTGTTTCATCTATTTACAGCAAAGATAATGTCACTTGCACGGCCCAAAATATTTACCTTATTAACAAATGCACCTCGATTTGTCGGCTTCGCACGCACGCCTCACGCGCGCACATGCACACGCACATGCCCACTCGTGCACACACTCACGCACACTCGTGCACACTCAGTTTCTCTCCCCCCGCTCCTCGGCAGCCTTCCCGGGCGCTGCAGAGAAGCCCCGGACACCGCAGGCTGCGGGCGCCGACGCGGGGGCAGGGGGAAAATTCAATGCAATCCCATAAAGAAAGTTAATTCCAATCGCACGTCGTACGCAATAAACTATCATTTTATTTTGATTATAAATAAGGTGACTGTACTTTCCTTAAAATACAAGTACGTAGGAAAAACCTGGTAGAAATGAGTCTCTTTTTGTTGTTTTTTGTTTTTTTTTTACAAGTTATTAAAACTGGACGCTCTTTAAAACGGCCGCATATTCTATACTGTTAGGTTCTTCGCGGGTTTCTTTCTGGTGGTGTTTGACTTGCACCATATCCTCCCTGCCTTTGGCATTTGAATTTCTGCTCGCGGGATACTTTGCTTTCTCCAGCAATAGGTAACCGAGGTGCCCCGCACCCACTCCCCCCCGCAGAGCGGGCTCGTCCCTTTGCGCCCATGCGGGGCCTTTCGCAGCCCCGCATGTGTCCTGACATTTTTTTTTTTTTTCCACGCTGGGGCTTATCCTCTTTCCCATTAATTCCCCGGCTCTGGGAACAGAGTAGGGTTTTTCGGAGGGGTAGGGGAGGTCAGGGCTTTTGGTAGCATCGCCGTAGCATCTCCGTCAAGAAAGAAAAAAAAAGGCGGGAGAGGGGACCAAAAGAAAATAAAAAAGGAATATTCGTAATGTGTATAATTTATTAGAAGCTTCTTAGGAACTATATTTAAGCCAAATATCTACATAAGTTACAACAGGAAAAGGCGGCGTGCGCAAATAACAAACTGCCGGAGGATTTACGACAGGGCGATCAGTGTCCATAAAAAAAAGGTGAGGGGTGGTTTGGTTGATTGTACTTTTTTTTTTTTTCTTTTTACAACAAAATATACAGGTTACTAAAAACTATGAGTTTAGTCCAACTTTTGACAGCATTATACAGCTACAAGTTCACATCAAACGTAAGGAGGAAAATAAAAGCCAAGCCTTTGATGACTCCACATCTCTCTGCGCTGGCCTTGGCGGCGGCGCTGCGAGAGGAGACCGGGGGGGTAAAAGTGGCTTCTTGTGTCTGGGTGACGCGAATGCTTTTTTKGGGGGGAAAAACCACCCCATGCCCCCAAATCTCTATATTTACATGCAAGTCCTAGACGCTGGCAAAGTGTACATCTGAAATCCGAGCCTTCAGACCATGCCTAAGAATGGCCCCTTTCTGCAGACTGCTCCACTGGTATTAGTCAGATTTTTTTTTTTTTTTTTTTTTTTTTTAACTCCCCATTTAAAAACTTGGGGAAAAAAGAAAAAAAAACCCAAACGAAAAAAAAAAAAAAAAAAAAAAAAAAAAAAAAAAAAAAAAAAAAAACAAAAAAAAAAAAAAAGAAAAAAAAAAAAACAAAAACAAAAAAAAAAAAAAAAAAAAAAAAAAAAAAAAAAAGGAAAAAAAAAACCACTAATTTGGACAGGACACAGATTTATATGACTGGGGAAATCTGCTTTTCCTCTATTCCCCCCCCCCTTTTTTTTTCTTTCACTTTGTTTAATCCTTTCACCAGGTCCTACCGTATAGCAAGGTGGAGCAAGACATGGCAGTGCCATAGTCAGAAGCAGAAGAGTTTAGGTGGGACAAGCTGGAGACTTGGCTCTGCAGAGAGGAAGGGCTGGCCGAGTGCTGTCCCATGTCTGGGGACTGCCCCGCACTGTTTGTCTGGTGGCTCTGATGCTGTCCGAGGCTGTTGCCATTGGTAGCCACTGTGATTGCTGTCGCTGCCTGCTGCTGGTGGCTCTGGATGGCTGCCGTGGGGGTGTTGGAGCCTGCTTGGCAGGGCTTGCCATCCTTCACGAGCACTGGCACCGCCACCCTCCTGGGGGACTGCTGCTGCTGGCAGGAGCCGTTCTCCTGTTGCATCTGCTGCTGCGCAGCCTTGTCCTTGGCCTGCCGCTTCATCTTGTAGCGGTGGTTCTGGAACCAGATTTTCACCTGAGTCGGCGTGAGGTGGATCATGCTGGCCAAATGTTCCCTCTCGGGCGCAGAGAGGTATTTCTGCTGCTTGAAACGTCTCTCCAGTTCGTAAACCTGGGCCTGGGAGAAGAGGACCCTGCGCTTCCTCCGCGGCGTGCTCTGCAGCGGGGCCATGCTCTTGCTCACGTCGCCCAGGGAGCCGAGGCTGCCCATGCCGCCCATGTTCATGCCCGACGAGGGGGCCATGAAGCGGGAGACTGCGGGGACAAGCAGTGCAGTTTAAGCTCGGCCTGAGCGGAGTCCCGCAGCCTCGCGCAGTCCCGCGCAGCCTCCTGCATCCCGGCCCGGTCGAGCTTCCCAGCCCACTCTCCGCGGCCCGCTCCGCGTCCAGGACAGTCCCGGTGACAAGGGCGACTGCTCGCCCCTTGTCCGGGGCTGCTCCGCGCTGGCGGCCGCTGTGGCGGTGGCACCTAGGGGTGGCAGCGGGCGCGCCGGGCTCGCCCGCTCCCTCGCGCACCTCCACGGACGCGGGTCGGGCTGTCCCCGGTCCCGGTAGTGGGCAGGGGTTGGGCACAGGGGGCTGCTGACAGGGAACAGGCACCCACAGCTCCCTCGGGGGGCAGCAGCACCGCCGGACGGCGAGCTCCGAGCTGCCGCTGCCTCGCTGCGCGGGGCTGCACGGGGCTGCATGGGGCTGCGCGGGGCTGCGCGGAATCTCCGCGTCTTCTTCCTCCCGCCGGTAGCCCCGCGAACTGCCTTGAAGCCACCCGAGGGAGGAGGGACCGGACACGATGCTCGGGCAGGGGGGAGGAATTGGGGGGGCAGGGGTGTATGAGGGGGCAGCCTGCCATCCGGACCCACTTCTGCCCTGGCGCGGAGCCCCCCGTGCCCGCGGGGCACTGCGCGGCCACCCCCGGGGACACCCCCCACCAGCGCCCGCCGCGGCGCTCACTTACTTGAGGAGAAGCGGGGGTCCGGGTTGGTGCCGTACCATCCTGTGGCCGAAGCGCTGTTCCTCATGGTGTCCTGGTAAGGCGGGAGCTCGCTCATGTTGCCCAGGTTCCCATTGCAGTAGCCCCCCATCGTGGCATGGGAGAGCTGGGGGACCCCCGCCGCTGTCATATGGTAGGCGGCCGTCACCGTTCCGTTGTGGCCCATGGGGTGCTGCTGCATGGCCGGCTGAGAAACCTGAGACTGTCTGTAGGCTGCCAAGGGAGCCCCCAAGTTAGTGCCCTCCATGCCCACTTTCTTGTAGCTTTCCTCCAAAGGACTCAAGATGTCAGACACTGAGAAAGGAGTCGTATGCTTTGGGCTCATCGACATGATTCGGCGGCTGGGAGGAAAAAAAAAAAAAAAAAAAAAAAAAAAAAAAAAAGAAGGGGGGGGGAAAAATTTTTTTTTTTTTTTTTTTTGCCAAATATTCTGGTGTTGCCTTAACGCCGATCTTGTTGGATGTACACGTAACCGAGTGGACGAAGTCCGCCTTAATTGGATTGAGTGGAGGCTCAGGGCTGCCTTTCGTTTGTTTTAGCCAGACGCCAGGTTTTAGGCTGCCACCAGAGGCGGGGCATAGGCACTAAAGCAACAAGACAATAGAAGCCTACATCTTGCCCAAGATAATTAGCTTACATGCTGATGACAAGGTAAACACCTTTAAGTTTTACTTGTCAGATTTTTTTATGTCTTAAAAAAAAAAAAAAAAAAAAAAGAGAGAGAGAGACAGAGGGAGAGAGAAAGAGAGAGAGAGAGAGAGAAAGACCCCGTGAGCGCAAGTCGTTTTATTTTTCTCGGGGTCAATATTAAGGAGGGGGGATCGAAGGCACTGCGAAAAGCCCCGCTCGACTGGGCTAGGGGATTGAAAACCCGCTCGCGGGTGGCAACAAGGGAGCCCGCAGCCTTTGTGCGGGCCGGGCTGAGCGCCGGGACYGGTGAGAGGCGCCGCTGCCCCCGCGGGAGCGCGGCCGCGGGAGGGCAGCTCCGCGGCGCGGAGGCTCCGCGCGGGATCCGCGGAGATTGCGAGCTGAGCAGCTCCCGCCGTTCAGCACCCCGAGAGCCTCTCTCATGTCTCCTAAGATCCCCAGTGTGAGACCCCGGGCGAGGGGATCGATTCTTTCCCTAAAACCATAAGAAATCATAAGTTCCGCACATGTCTTTTTTCCCCCTTTCTTTCCTTTTTTTTTTTTTTTTTTTTTTTTTTTTTTTTTTTACCTTTCTTTCCTTTTTTTTTTTTTTTTTTCTTTTTTTTTTTTTTTTTTTTTTTTTTTTTTTTTTTTAACGTCGAAGAGTAAGAAAATGCAACTTTGCAAAGGTGATTCAATCGTAAGGGGCGAGAGTCTGCTGAAAAAAAAACCCACAAGTTAGAGCCGAATGTCGCTCACTATTCCCAAAGGGAAGGAGCCTCTCAGGCTGCAGTGGTCCCTCTGAACCTGAAGCTGCCGCCTTCTAAAGTTATACGGCACGAGTACCGAGATGGAGAAGACCTTCCAGCTCATCTTGCTACACCATCTTGCCAATGAATTTCCTGCGGCTCCTACGGTAAAGCCATTTCTGGCACTTTCGGATCTGGTGTGAAAACAAAAGAGAGCCCCTTCCCAGGCACGCACACGTACAAGCACCGAGGAGCTGGTGTCACTCGGGCTTTGAAGAAATCTCCCAAGTTGTCCAGTGCCTCCAAAGCTCACATTTCTCGGGTGCTCCCGAGATGCAAAGAGAAACCTCCCCTAAGTGCTTCACACCCAGGCCTACTGTCCTGGGAAAAACATCCAATAAAGTGATTACCTGAATATTAAGAAAATTGCAGCCAAGGTACAGTTAACCCAGTGACTTTGAAGTGTCAAATAACTATTTAGTAATTGCACTTATAAATATGTTTGCAGTCGGCTGATTCGTGCTTAAAAATGCAAAAGTGCACTTGCTACCCGGGAATAACTAAATATCTTTGTCTAAAGTGGCAACATAAATAGCCGGTCGCTTTGTGGCTGTGCTTGATATTAGTACATAAGGATCATTTTGCTTCAATTGGGAGGCTCTCATTCAGTAGGCAAGAAATCGTTTAGGAGAAAGTAGGTTCCCGTATGAGAGTTAACATCCTTCAAGTGTAAGCCTCAGCCTTGATTACACTTTAGAGCTCGGCAAGAGGTGAGCTTTTCCACACAAATATAATCGGGGCAACTTTCTTTCAATCAGGCCTTCAGCTCCTCCACATCAGCTCAGCTGCCTCTTTCGGCCCCAGCTCCCTCGAGCCTCAGTTCCCGAAGAGGGGCTTGTTGTGAGTCTGCGGGGCTGCCACGAGCAGGGTCGGGCGACTCGGGGCTAGAAAGGCGGCTGCTATTGCTACCTTCTGATTTCCTTTCCAAATCTTATATCTTGACTATCTCGTTCCCTTTTTCTCACAACTTCCATTTCCCTTTTTCTGCGTATCTTTTTTTTTTCTTCTTCAACATGGTCTTTAGATTTCCTCCTAAAAGAGGAAATCCAAAGAGAGACACCCGAGCCTAGCTTGTTCCCCACTACTCCTGTACCCCCGATTTCTCATCCGCCAACTCCATACCCGTTTTATTAACCTGAAAAAAAAAAAAAAAAAAAAAGAAAAAAAAAAAAAAGAGAGTTGGAAGGGAAGGTTTCCCGGAGGATTCATCACGAGAGCGCTGCGCTCGGCTCAAGCAGGGGATGTGGGATGAAGGGCGGCAAGGGACGATGCTTGCCGTGGGGCAGCGACCCTGCTCCCCGGCGCAGGCTCCGCCGCCCCGCGCAGCGCTGCGCGCCCGCGCTCAGACTCGCTCGCGGCTCSGCGGGCTCCGTCGTCCCACGTCTCGGCCCATCCATCCCCACAGGATGCTGCTCTTTTAGGCGAGCCCCAGCAAGCCCCACCAGGACTCCACGCAAAAGGGAGACAGGGCGAGAGCTCCAATTGCGCCTTGGCTGCGTAGAAAGGTCAAAATCCGCTCGTCGGATTTGATCCCTTATTTTATAAAAACACCGAGCATATCAAGGCGCATCTGCTCCCTA